AGACAGATACAGATACAGTTACAAATACAGAGATACAGATGCAGATACATGGATACAAATAGAGACAGATACAGATACAGTTACAATTACAGAGATACAGACACAGATACATGGATGCAAATATAGACAGATACAGATACAGTTACAAATACAGAGATACAGACACAGATACATGGATACAATTATAGACAGATACAGATACATAGACACAGATACATAGATACATATACAGTTACAGATACAGAGATATAGATACATAAATATAAATATAGATACAGCTATAGGTAAATGCTCCTGGACTTATGATGGGCTTAAGTCCTAATAAACCCATCATGAATTGAAAATATTATAAGTCGAAAATGCATGTAATACACATAACCTACCAAACATCATAGCTTAGCCTAGTCTACCTCAAACGTACTTAGAACACTTACATTAGCCTACACTTGGGCAAAATCATCCAATGCAAAGCCTATTTTATAATAAAAAGCCTATTTTATAATAAAGTGTGGACTATCCCATGCAATTTATTGAATACTTGACTGAAAGTGAAAGAACGGTTGTGTGAGTACACAAAGGACGACGTCTGCTGAATGCATGTCACTTTCCCACCATTGTAAAGTTGGAAATTGCTGGTGAAACCACTGTAAGGTGGGGGCCGTCTGTAGATACATAAATGCAGACATGGACACAGACAGCTGTGGTTTCAATGTGTCCCCAAAGTCCCCATGTTGGAAACTTCCTCCCCAAGGCACCGGTGTTGAAGGCGGAACCGTTAGGGGCTGATGAGGTCGGGAGGGCTCTGCCCTCAGGAACGGTGAACGCCGCTACCGTGACAGCAGGTCAGTTACCGCAGGTGTGGGTTCCTGTAAAAAGATGAGTTTCGCCCCACGCCCTCTCCCTGGTGTGCGCCCTCTTGCCCTCCCACCTTCCGCCGTGGATGATGCTTCGAGAAGGCCCTCACCAGACACGGCCCCTTGACCTTGGGCTTCTCAGCCTCCACAACTGTGGGAAGTAAAGCCCTGTGCTTTGTAAATTGCCCAGTGTGCAGTCTCTGTCAAGCAGCAGGAAGCGGGCTGAGGCACACGCTATCGTGCACACCACACATTTGTCTATGTGAGTGTGTAGCATTTATTGTGAGACGGTGGCGTGTATCCCAGAGGCTTTTCATGCATAAATACCCAGGTGACCCCGAGCCAGGTCCCAAAACAGAACACCGAATGATTGCGGTCATCGCCTCCTTCCTCCCCCCAGAGGCCACCACCATCTTGTCCTTTGAGGCACGTGTCACCGCCGCAGCGCGCATCTCTAGTTTTCCTTCTGAAATGCGGCCACGGAGTGTGCCATTCACCCCAGGGCCTCTGCTGATTTGTGGCAGAAGCCGGGAGCGCCACGTGGCCAGACACGGCCGAGTGAAGTGGAGTGAGGGACCAGGGCTGCTTCCGCTTCACATTTTCCGGAGATGCTAGATTTGTGTCACGCGCAGCCGCTGTCTCCCGCTTAGTGGCACCGACCCACTTAGCCGCCCCCTCATGCTGCCACAGCCAGCGTGGCTGTCCTAACGAGGACGGAGAAATGTGCATGGCAGGTGGACCCAGACTAAATGGCTAAGAGAGAGAGAGAGAGAGAGAGAAAGACCCAGAACCGTCTTTGGGGAAAAAGCAACGCTGACGAATAGCAACAGGGAGCAACGTGTGCAGCTTAACGTCATGGAACACTTCATGGGGGTCTTACCTGCCGCGGCCAAGCAGTAGCGAGGGACCGAATCTCCAGTTACTCACTTGCAGCACTTTTGTGCCTGTCAAACACTCCGCGTGGGCCGACCGTGCACTGAGGGGCCTCCTGAGGAGTCTGTGAACAGCCGTGTGGTTCCTTCAGCGTTGCGGCAGGGATGTGTGGGCAGCACCACCTGTTACAGCCGCCGGCCACAGAGCAGGAGTGACACACAACCTCGGGGCTCAGGGGCGGTGGCTGAGTTCCCCGGAGTCGCTGTGGGTCCTCGCTGGGGGCCGCCAGCCTGCCCTTCCCAGGCTCCACGGCTTCCCTGCCGCCTGCCTGCGTCACCAAACACTGTGCGGGCAACGTTTTCCTCCTGCCATTGCTGAGATGTTCACAGGAAACGAGTTTCGTGTTATTTTCCCTTTAATTTGTAATCGATTAAAATGGAAATCTAGTTAAATAACTTGATTTTTGAATTGGTAACACGCATGGCTCAGAAATTTAAAGGAAAAGCTTAAGAATGTATCCACAGAAAGTCTCTCCCATACCCCTGTTCCAGTTCCCTGGTGTCCTGGGGCTTCTCTGCAGATATGTGTGAAGGCGACCAACTGTGCACGTGCCCTGTTGTTCAGGCATGAGTAGAAGATTCCAGAGAACGAGCCGCCCACTCCTGGAAGCCCTAACCGCACGTTAGTCGCCCTCACGTTGCCACTGTCCAAGTGGGGTGGGGTGCAACTGCGTTGAAACCGGGACCCTGCCGTCCACGCCGCCCCCGCCCAGGCGGGCGTGGCTCTCTGGTCATCGTGACGCAGCCGGCCAGGCAGGGAGGCTGGACGGCGTCGCCGTGCCGGGCGCTCTCTTTGTGCGGACACAGCGCTGGGCGCTGAGCTGTTAGCTCCTTTCCTCTTCCCTGGCCTTGGGAAACCTCTCGTCAGCCTCACCCGACAGACGAGGAAATGAGGGACTAGGTGGTCTGACCCTCAGGAGCTGAGCTGGGGTGACGGCTGAGCGCAGGTGCTGAGACCGTCGATTAAAGCAGCCAGAAGAGGGGACGACTGTGCTCACTCGCTGCGGCTGCGCGGAGCACAGTCTCCCCGGGAGCACGTGGGGAGGGGCCGTGAGCAAAGGCTCCTGCTGGCTCGTGGGCTGGGAGCTGGGGGAGGAGGGGCAGGGCTCAGAGTGGAAGGACGCTGGGTGCCGAGTCAGGGAGGACGTGTCCCCAAGGCCCCCAGACAACGTGGTCGCGGCAGGTGCTTCAGAAAGGCCTGGCGTGTGGGTGCTGGGCCAGGGGTGCTGGGTGGGGTGAGGCCAGGTCTTCCTGCAGCTCCCCTCAGACTGCCAGGCCCTGGCTGTGCACCAGGCCACGTGGGGACAGCAGCCTCCCCGTGAGGCCTGCAGGTGGAGCCTTTGCAAGTGCCTGTGGCCAGGCCTGAGCGTTCGTGCAGGGGTCTGTGCCCAGAGCTGGGCCCTCACGCTCCTGTAAATGACCTCGGGATTTTTCAAAACCGAGGCAGAGAGCTGCCCACGGCACAGCCCTGCACGCCGCTGTGGGCCTGCAGCAGGAGGGAATCGGGGGCTTCATGTCCCTTGCTGTCCCCCGCATTGCATGCCCCATACTGGACACTGGGGAGCTGCCCAGGGGAGGGGACAGGTCATGCTGGAGCCTTGCCAGGGACCCCTGTGCCCCCCCCAGCCCCGTGGGTCCCCAGGGCAGCCTCCCAGAGGTTCCCGGCCAGCCCAGGTGTGGGCAGAAGCTGAAGCCCCTCTGCTGTGGCTCCCGTGGGTCACACGGCCGCAGGCCTGGGCAGGAGACAGAGCCGGGCACTGCGCCAGGGGCCTGGCACGTGGGACTTCTCGTCTCTGAGCAGCTGGCGCTCTTAGTGTCTCCCAGCAAATGGGGCATGAGGACCAGAGGGCTCGGGGGCGCTGCCAGGGTCCCACGCCATGAGCAAATGCCGAGATGAGGTTTGGACCCGAGGTTCATGCTCTTCCCCTCCTGCGCTGGCCCGTTCCTGGGCCCAGAACATGTCTCTGCTCTTTCCTCCGCAGCGCAGGAACCCTGAGGCGAGCTGCGTGTTGTTTGCTGGAAAATGCCCAGGGGCTGGGGGTAGCTTTGCCCCAGCGACGTCCCCTGTGCTCCGGAGCCCTGGCAGGGGTGGGGGAGCGGCGGCCGGTGGACTCAGCCCTGCGGCGGGTGCGGCCAGCCGTCCTCACCGCCCGCTGCTGTCCTCGCAGGTCAACATGGGCATCCTCGTCGCCGTGACCAGGGTCATTTCGCAGATCAGCGCCGACAACTACAAGCTTCACGGGGACCCCAGTGCCTTCAAGTAAGTGACCTCTGGCCACCTGTGGGGCTGCAGCCCTGCCCCAAGGGACTCCAGGGTCCCCACGATCCCAGGGGCAGCTCTGGCGTCACATCCTCACCCGGCTCCTTGTCCATCCCCTGCAATGCGGGACGAGGCCCTTGAGCAGCCTCGGGTCCCCTGTGTGACGAGCGGGTCTGTCGATGTCCCCTGGGCCACCCCCCAGGGAGAGAGGCAGCTGGGGGTGTTCTGGAGCCAGACCGCCGACCCCGCAACCACCCCACCACCTGCTGGGGCCTTGCAAGTTATTTAACCCCTCAGTGTCTGGCCGTTGCCCCTGTAGAATGGCACGAGGACAGGGTCCCCCGCGCAGGGCTGCAGTGTGGAGGGAGGTCCTAGGGAGAGCAGCTCCCTGACGAGCTCCAGGCCCCTCTGGAGAGGGAGCGGGTGTCTGGGGGGTTCCACCCACACATCCCGCTGCCATCGGGGTCTCCTGACCTGTATCCGCTGGGGCGCAGCTGGCTGCAGGTGACAGAAAACCCCACACAAACTGGCGTAGGCAGAAGGGGTTTATTGCTACAGGACTGTGGAGTCAGAGGTTGGATGCTGATGTCACAGGAATCATCTGGCAGTTCCGTGACTGCGACCCGGTCCCTCCTCCCCGCTCTGGTCCTGCCCGAATCGACTCTGCCCTCCCGGGGGCAGAGGCTGCACCGGGGGGTTCAGCCCACGGGAGAGTCTGTCCCACCTGCTCAGACAGAGGCCTGAGCCCGGGTGAGGAAGATGATGAGGAGGACGCCTCAGGCTGGGAGAGAGGGGAGTGGGCTTCACCCGTCAACCCGGAGCTGAGCCCCACGGCGCCGTGGCCCCCAGACCACAGGGTCTGAACGCGGGGGCAGCTCCTCTTGGGGGACTTGGGGGCTTTTGTGGAAACAGGGCTGGCCCTGGGCAGCCGACGTCCTGTAGGTCACTGCAGCTGCCGGGTGTCTTTTCTGGTGAGAAGGCTGAAGTGGTAAATAAGTCAGCGGCAAATCGATGAGATGATTATTCTGTAACAAATTCCAAGCTGTGAGCTGAGCTGACAGGTGGCGCAGCCGCCTTGGGCTTTTCAGCCCCCGGAACCCGTGCAGGGCTGTGCAGGGCTGTGTCCGTGTGAGGGGAGAGGCTCACGGGGCCAAGGGTCGCGTCCTCCCTCTTCTGTCTGTGAGGCCGGCCGGTCCCGGGCCCCCTCCAGCTGGCAGCTCCCGAGGCTGTCACCTCGGCGTTCATGGTCAGCCAGTCCGTCCTCAGCTCTTGTCCCCAGCCAAAGCCTGCTCACCCTGGTCTGAGTCCTGGCACCCGCGGGACCCCAGAACACACCTGTGCACCCCTCCCTGTCTCCACCCCACTGTCCCACCCCCGCCCCTCACCGACACCCTCCGAGGAAGCCGCCTTCATCCACTGCCTTGCTCTGCATGGCCGTCCCCGAGGCGCCGGCTGGCACAGCGGTGCCCGTGGTCCAGGAAGGTCCGGGCAGGGAGCGTGCGCTGGCGGAGTGTTCCCAGGTCTGTGCAGAGCCACAGCCGAGGCCCTGCCCCCTCCGCTCCGCCCCACCCAGTGCCCACCCAGGGACGGGCCCCTCGGGGAGGGCAGGCCGCGTTCCTCTGCACAGACCCCTCTGGGTCCCTCTGACGTGTGCCAGTGTGTCCCTCTGCCTTCAGCAACTCCAAGTGGCCGAGTCTGACCCGTGGGACCCTCTCTCACTCTGTCATCTTATCTGCCACGTGACACTCGCCTCCCCAGGCTGGCGAGGCAGACCCCGCGCTGCAGGAGCCGGCGGGAAGGGAGCAACAGCAGCATCCTTAGAAAACTTCCTTGGCCCCTTCTTGTGCCTGGTCTTTTGGTTTTAATCTTGTCGTTTCTTTGTGCTGAGCAGCTTGATGTTCTCTGAGTAATAGGATGCGAGATGCTCCTTCAGGGCCCTCCACAGGCCTGGCCTCCGCTCTTTAACAAGCCTCTTTACTGATCGCGATCCCAGACTCCCAAGAAAGCAGCAGGGAACATTCGGGTTTTACAGGGGGGACCTGGTGTGACCCCTGGCAGCACACCCGTGGGCAGTGGGTGTGGCGGGTGGGGACAGGGCCAGCCCTGGGGGAGCAGAGGGGACAGCTGCCTCGGGGGCTGAAGTGTGACTGGGCTGCAGCCCCCACCTGCCCGAGGCCCCCTCTCCTCCGTGTTTGAATAGGGGACACTGACAGCTCTGGCCGTGTTAACAAGAGTCCTCAGAGAGCTTCCGCCTGTCTCCTCGAGATCATTCATTGCTCTATTTTTAAGAAAAAATCAACCATCACTTTAGAAGTAGCACATTTTGGTACCTATTTCTCAGTGGCTGATCCTTTCAAACACGGTCCTCCACGAACTCAAGACTGTAGCTGAATAATGCATGATATTTTTGTTTCCCAGAGACAGGTGTTTTATTTTTATTGCATTAACATTATGAGAACAAGCTGGCTGCAGTTTCCCTGAGATCTGAAGTGCTGGAACAGCCCTGGGTTTCGCAGGGATTTTGCCGGGATCTTGGGCTCCTGACGAGGAAGCTCATTTTGGTCGTGTCTCGCCTCCTCCTGGGAGGTGCCGGATCCACGGGTGGCACTTTTGCACTTTCCTCCATTTGTTCATCTTTCATTCATTCCTTCCAGCGATCGTTTCCTGGGGCCTCTGAGTCCTGGCGCTGGGCTGCACCCTGGGGTTGCGGAGCTGGAAAGACAAAGTCCCAGCTTTGGGGAACTCACAGTCCAGTGACGGAGACGGACTCACGGTCACCGCGCTGAGTGATGAGGGGTGAACCGAGACGTGGCGGTTGCTGGCCTGAGCAGCAGGGCCCCCTTAGCCTCTAGACTTTTCTGTGAAGCTCAGATGCGTAAGGACCCCGCCGTGGAAAGCCCCGGTGTTCCAGAAGTCGGGGAGGACGGACTTCAGTGAGTGCACGTGACTTGCTTTGAGTCTGACCGCTGGCGTTGCTCCTTCTTTCAGCGGAGGCCGGTGGAGGCCGACTCTGTGCCGCTCTCCAGCTCTGCGTGGGGCCCTGCGACCTGGTCTCACGGCGCCTGCACTCTGGGGGCACCTACGAGACTCACGTTGCAGGTCCTGCCCCACTGGGCTCCTGGGCTTTCCGGTCCTCCGTGCCCTGGGGTCGGACGCCTGTCCAGCATCACCGGTGGGATCCGGGTGGTCAGCCTGAGAGTGCTGGGGGTGGGCTGGCTCCTGGCGCCCGGCCGGCTGCCACGGTGCAGGGACAGCTCTGGGGACCGGGCCCAGAGTGGGCTGGCTGGGAACCACTCTGTATGTCCCAGGTCACCGCGGCCTGTGCCGTCTCGGGGAGGGGCTCCCTCGCAGCTGGGCCCCCGCGGGGTGGCGCTCTGCGCTCTCTGACTGGGACAGAACACCCTGTCCCGGGAGGTCTCGAGTAGCTCACAGAATCTCAAGCAAAGAACTAGTCTGGGGGGCCACACACCAGGGCAGCCTCGGAATTGTTGGGTGGCCTTGCGCTGGTGGACTCAGGGAGGAGCCCGGGCTCTTCAGTGAAGGGACCCTGGCAGGAGAGGCTCGCTCTGATTGGCCGGCCTAAGTCATGCATCCCTTTGCCATTGCTGGCGTTGGGGCAACCTGATTGGCTGTCCCAGTGGGTCAGCAGCCAATGAGGAAAGAGCAGCCCTGGAGCGGCCCAGGATGCTGTGGAGTGGAGGCAGAGGGTCACCCTGCAGGGGTGGGACGGGCGCCTGTCCCGGCTGGAAGGGTAGAAGCTGAGGGCGCTGGGAACTGCCAGGGAGGCTCACTCTGGTCCACGGGGTGGGCGAGGCCGGGCGGCACTCACACTGGCCCAGGTGGAGATGTCTGCACACCCTCTGGTTCTGCCACTGATGGAACCTTGTGTCACTGTGGCCATCACTGGGGGTTGTGGGGCCTCAGTCTCCTTATCTGTGAAATGGGGTCACTGTATAACCTGTGTCCAGAGGGCCTGCAGGGCTGAGAGGCGACAGAAGCGCGTGCTGGCAGGTATTGTGTGGCAGGAGACAGGGCTGTCGGTCGGCTGGCTTAGTGTCTCCTCTGGGCCACGTCCAGGGCCCGTGAAGATGACCAGTCGGTCCTGGCCCTCTGAGAGTCACTGTCAGTGCTGCAGGAGTGCCGGTGTGCCCAGGGCCCAGGGCCCAGGTGGGGGCTGGAGGCTGCAGCCCAGCGAGAGCCGGGAGGTGTCCCTACCCGGACCCTCACCACAGACGGGGCTTTTCGTGGACTGAGACAAGAAGCCTCATCCCAGGGCCTTGTCGCCCCTTCCAGACGTCTCCCAGCTCCCAGAGGTTCTGAGTTATGGATGCTGAAGGGGTCCCTTGCTGCCTTGGTCCCCCTGAATCTCGCCCCTCCTGCCTGGGTCCTCCTCCTTGTCTTTGCAAACAGCTTAAACGCAATCCCCCAGGCCCGGCTGGGTTTCTCCTCCTGTCCTGGGCGCACCCTGGGGTGGTGCTCAGGGCTGTAGGAAACTGCTGCTTCTCCAGAGCTCTCTTCGCCCACCAGCCTCGAGGGGCCGGAGCTGGTGGAACCTGAGGCTCGCACCAGGTAAATGCCTCACCTGAGGTTACCTGCAGGGAGGACTCCAGGTCTTGCCCCCTCTGGAAGCCCGCTCCTGGAAGGCGGTCTGCACACCCGGTCCTGCCCGCCCACCGCCCTGAGTGACCGCAGCTGTTTCTCTCTCAGGCTGACGGTGAAGGCGGTGGCCGTGCTGCTGCCCATCCTGGGAACCTCGTGGGTCTTTGGCGCCCTCGCCGTCAGTGACCGGGCCCTGGTCTTCCAGTACGTGTTTGCCGTCCTCAACTCCTTGCAGGTGAGAGCCCGCTGGACTGCCAGGCGGCGAGCAGGCCCTTGTGGGTGACATGTGCGGAGCAGGCCGCTGCAGAGGCAGGAGGGGGCCCTGGGCTCTGCCCCCTTCACACACCCCATGAGCCCTTGGCGTGGGGCACCCCGAGACCTGAGGACGGGCACACCAGGGCCTCTCAGAAAACAGGGCTTGCCGTGTCCTGACCCCGTTCCCGGCAGGGCTGCCTTGTGCTTCCGGCCGGTATCTGTGGGAGGCACTTCCGGGCCTGTGATGGAAGGTGGTCGGCCTGCGGACAGCTCCCGAGAGGGAGCCAGGCCCTGTCCTCTGTGTGAAGGGACAGGTGGGGGTCACCAGCCAGGAGACCAGGGGTTTGGGATGCCTGAGGCCTCAGACCACAGGCCCGCAAAGGAAAGGCAGGTGTGGGTTCCAGCACCATCCATAGCCCTGGCCCTCACTGTGCGGGCCTTGCGCACCTGTGTCCACAAGGCCGGGCTGCGTCCTGCGGTGGCGCTGGGCCTTGTGGGCCGTGAGCTTGCAGGCGGCGCCTTCCTCTGGCTGTTCCCACTGAGATGTGTGGGTTGTCCTGGCCGCAGCCCTGAGCATGCTGGGCCCTCACTTGTCCTCTGTGTCCTCTCCCGTTTCCTCCGCTGTGAAGCGGGGGCAGTAGCAGGACCCTTAATGGGGTGGCACTAAATGAGACACGTGTGCAAGGCATTGGCCTGGTGCCCGGCACGCAGCAGCGGCCTCTGGGTGTTTGGTGACATCCTCACCTTTGCGCTTGTTTTCACGTTATCACAACCAGTCTGCCGATGAGACCACCAAGGCGCAGTTGAGGGTCCGTCTGATGTCCACCCCTTGCTTGTGCCGGGCCTTTCCGGGGATCCACCCGCCTTTGTCCCTTGGCCCCGGTGGCAGCGCTGCCTCCGAACCCTGGTTGCAGCAGCTGCCTGAGTCCGGCTTAGACTATAGGGTCCGAGATGCCTTCCCTCCCCATGGACTCAGGTCACGGGATCTGGGGTCAGCGAGCTCCCAACAGCCAGCCGTGCCAGCGCCACTTGCGGAGCCCGTGTGTGGAAAGAACCTTCGGAAAGTGCTTGTGACAAAATGCAAACGGCTCTAATCCTGTGTTTTCCTCCCTTCCTTCCCAGGGACTTTTCATCTTCCTCTTCCACTGTCTCCTGAATTCAGAGGTACGTCTCCCCACTTCCTGCCAGTGCAAAGCTGGGTGTTCATTTCTGAAGGGGCACAGTGCGCCCTACAGGCTGCCACCTGGGAACGAAGTCCTGGCTCAGCCTTGTCCCACGATGAGCCATGTGGAGTGGGCCGGCTTCCAGCAGCCCCTCCTCTCCCATCCCGGTTGCTAAGCGACGTGCCAGCATCCTCTCCTGGTGTCGCAGCAGGCACCGCCGGCTGTGCAGGGGACCAGGGAGACAGGGCCGGTGGGGGAGCCAAGCTGGAGAAGGGCAATGTCTGGCACGTTGGGGAGAGTAGGACGGAGACGTGCTCCCTCTGGTCCTCCCGGGGCCTCGGGGAAGCTCCCTGGGGTGTGAGGAGGAGGACCGCTGTCTGCGGGAGCTGGCAGGGGGCCTTTAGGGTGCCGCCTCGGACTCTGATGTTTCCAGGTCTGTCCTCGACCTGCGCTGGCGCCCTGGGGCCTCCCTTCAGCACAGATTCCCAGAGACCGTTCCGAGTGAGCTCTGGTTTCTGTTCTCTCAGCCTCTGACGTTGCCTCTAACAAAGCCTTCCTTCTGCTGCCCAAGGTGAGAGCTGCCTTCAAGCACAAAACCAAGGTCTGGTCCCTCACGAGCAGCTCTGCCCGCAGCGCCAACGCGAAGCCCTTCCACTCGGACATCGTGAGTGTCGGGGGCGTCCCATCGCGAGCCCCTCCTGCTGCCTGGGCTGACCCCACTCCCAATGCCTCCCACCCGCAGCCCTCTCCGGCCCGAGGGCTCTCGCTCCTGCGGTGGCTACCCGGAGGCTGGCCCTGGAGGCTGCCTTCCAGCTCCCCCGCGCCGCGTGTGGCCTCTGCCTCGCCGGGGACGCCTGGCGCTGCTGGCTCAGCCTCTCACCCAGAGCCCCAGCCCTGCCGGGTGGCGCCATCCAACAGGAGGCTGTGGAGGCTGGTTGTTCTCGTCCCCACGTCCTGCCTGACCCTGACGAGGCTGCCACAGCCTCTCCCCTGACATTTCCCAGGGCCGGGACTTGTGTTGAGTCCGGGGATGGGGGGCTTACAGGTCAGCCGACCAAGAGGCAGACCCTGGGCACAGAAGTCAGCGGGCCCAGCCCTGTCCTCGAGGATTGTGTCCCCTGCACCGGCCCCTCCTCCCGCAGGTGCCCGGGGAGTCCGGTCTCCATGCTCAGGGGTCTCCACAAGCCCCTCACCCTTCAGTGCCAGGTCGATCCCCTCCGTCCCCCGCGCAGGGGCCCAGGTGGCCTGGAGCAGATGCTCCTGTGTCCTCCCCCCACCTGCCAGGAGTCCCGGCTCAGGTGTCCGCCCTCAGGGGTCCCTGCCGTGCTGCACTCAACACACCGGCCCCCACAGCACACCCTGCCCCACCCCCCCACAGCACACCCTGCCCCGCCTGAGGCTGTGTTGTTCGTTCAGTGGCTTAATGGCCACGGTCCTGCCACTGGGATGGGGACACGACGGGGGCTGCTTGGCTTTGTTCTCGCTCTGGCCCCGCGGCCCACAGCAGCGCCCAGCGCGTGGCGAGCGCGGCGGGCGGAGACGCACACAGACGGACAGCGTGTGCGTGAACGATGGGTGGGTGCGCGACTGGCGGGTGGACGGACGGACGAGGGATGACGAGGTGCGTGAACGCACGCCACGCCCAGGTGGCGAGGGAGGGCGGGGAACGCAGAGGACTCCAGTCCAGGTGCTCTCGGTGCGCGGGGTCCTCATCTCTCGGGGGCGGCGGGGTCTCCTCCAGTCTGCGCTTTGCCCCGACGGGGGACCCCCGTACCCCCGGCCCAGAGCTCTCCGCACTCAGTGGGGTTTGAGTTTCCTCCTGGGGCGGGGTCCTCACCCCTCACCCCCTTGCGCCTTGCAGCTGAACGGGACCCGGCCAGGCACGGCCTCCACCAAGCTCAGCCCTTGGGACAAGAGCAGCCACTCTGCCCACCGCGTGGACCTGTCTGCCGTGTGAGCCGAGGGCCGCTCACCAGCCAGGCCTGCCGCTCGGAACAGCCCTCCCAGGCAGGACAAGACAGAGACCCACCTTCCCTCAGGGGACCCCCTCCTCACTGCTGTCTGGACGTGGGGTGGTGGCCCCGAGCCGGTGTCCTCACCTGTCCTCACGCCCCTGTGTGAGCCCCCGGCACAGGCCAGCAGGGCGTGGCCCCCACCTGGGGGCTGTGAGACGGCAGTGACTGCCCTCTGGGGTCCCCGGGATGCACAGTGGCCCGCCGTGACGCTGCGCGTCAGCCTCCCCTGGACCCAGCGAGGCGCGAGCTCACGGGAGGGGAAGCTCCGTCTCGGCACCTCCACGGGGACTCGGGGACACAGAGGGGGTTAGGGTCCCCATGCACCCCCGGAGGGTCAGGTGCAGGCAGCTGGGGGCGTGTGGGGAGAGCGTGGGGAAGGTTCCCAATCTGCAGAGTTGACCCAACAAGAAGCCGGTGCCAGCGAAGTGCGTGTCTGTCTGCGGTGACGCCACATGGGCTGGCCTCGGCGCTGGGCTGGGGCATGATTGGGTTCGGGGCCTCGGTCCAAGCAGAGATCTGCGGGCTGGAGTCACCGGCTGTCCCGGTGGGGGTTGGGGTGACCGCCACCCGTGTGAGGAGCCAGGCAGGGCCCCAGCCGGCAGCCTGGGCTTCGAGGCCACCTGGTGGCGCCGCTGCTTTGGGGGCTTCTCAGCCCCCCTTGTGAGTTCTGACTCCTTGGGCCCAAGGCCGGCCTGAAGGACCCCTCCTCCCCAGCTGCCCACAGCCCAGGCTGCCTCCCTGCTGTGGCCTTTTCCTGTGTCTTTGTCTCTTGGGTTTCTGGTTTCGGTTTTGAAGTCATCCCTTCCCCTGGGGGGTCTCTTTCGCATCCTTGGCAACACTCTGTTCCCGGTGAGCAGACCACACGGGGCAGCGCGGCGGCTGCTTCACGTCGCTGCAAAGGCAGACCACGCCACGCCACGCCGTGGTCAGGCCACTTGGGTCCCACGTGGCAGAGCCCCCGAGTCCCGGCTGAGGGGGAGGGAGGGTGACGACCGCTGAGCCTTCTGCGCTGATGTCGACTTACAGACTCGGCTCGGCCCCCTAGCAACAGGGACGACCGTCGCAGCTCTTGTGGGCCGGGTGCCGCAGAACACGGGGGTCTGGGCGCATAGATGTGAATAAAGACCCCGCCGGAGCGTTTGGAAACAGGCCGTGAGAGCGCTCTGCGGCCACAGCGCCAGCGGCATCTGTGAAACGTGCGGTCGGATGCTCACGCCTGTCTTTGATACTGGAAAATCTTCCTTTAAGCTGTGACCACAATGTCCTTAGGCCCTTCCCACCTCACGTGGCTGCTTCGATTCAGAGTCAGTTTCCCACTAGTTCCGTGGCCCTCAGCTCAGCCCCGACCCGCCGAACGTAGCAGCCCCCCGCAGGCCTGTCCCCGCGGTGGGGGACGTGGGCGGCACGTTGCAGGGGTCGGTCCTTGCCCTTCCCCCAGGCCAGGTTCCACACATCGTGGCCGTGGCCGCCGTGGAGCCCGCGTGTTCAGTGAGGTGTTCCTGTGTGCTCACCCTGCACGTGGCCACCACTCTGGGTTCCCCTGTGTCCCACACGCCAGGTCACGGGGACACAGTCTCAGATCCTCGTCCCAGCCCTGAGCACCGAGAAGTGAGAACACTGTATTCCTACGATTCACACTCGGATTTTTTTTCTTGTTTGGCTTCTGGTGGCGCGAGTCGTGTCGGGACCGTGTTTCGGGGGGAATTCTGTGTGTGTGAGCTGTCGCCACACTCGCTCTCCACAGCTAATGTATCAGGAGAGGCAACGAACAAAACCCGTCTGAACCTTCTATTTCCAACGAATGAAAGTCAGCACTTTATTTGTAGGCTGTGTATCTTGGCTTCCGTAGTACTTTATTATCTGCACATAATTTGGCCCAAAATAAGAAATCGGAAAGAATTGTGTGTTGAAAGCAGTTTGTAGTCCAAGGAAGATGATGAATGCCACTATGCAGTGAAAATATGTTGTGATTTTATGAAATAAAATCTTATTGTCCTTAAAATAAAGTGTGGTCTTTAAAACCTGTTGCTAGTGGAGAGTGCGCGGGACTGAGTCTCGTAACACACGTCTACAGGGAAACGCACGAGCAAAACCCTGGGCTGGGGCTCATGCAACAGGCATTTATTTGGCACCTGCTGTGTACCCAGTGCATTCCAGCTCTGGGGATGCCCTGTCTGGAGCCTCTGTCCCGGGGTGGGGTGTGAACACAACCAGGGCAAACAGCAGGCATGGGAACAGGGACGTGGGGGGCACGGAGAGGGCTCTGCACAGCCCGTTGTCTGCCTGGGTTACCTCCCTGCAGCCACCTGGCTTGGGGACACGGCACCTTCCAGGCACATTCGGTGATGCTTTCCCGAACTGCGTTTCTATCCTCGCAGGTGGGAGACACCATGTGCACGGCCCGACGTCTCTGCTCTGCAGCTGCTTTCAAACCTAACGTGCTCTCACAAACCGTCTTCCCCGTTACCGTGTGCTGTTCGTAATGACAACTGTGATTTACATAAAATGTACCAAAATCCTTGCATTATTTTACAATTAGAGTATCTGTGCTTCCATGTTATATTAAATATATCATTTATATATTTATCAGCATAATATATGTTTATATGTCATTTATAAATATATACATTACATAGTATCTTTTATATATATTAATATATTTTATACGTATCTATAATATATAACAAATGGATACATATTGATGTCTTTGTGCTTGTGGCTTTTTTCCTTATATCTTTTTTTCCTTATATTGATGATTTTCCAGGTTAAAATTTTAAAACTGGCTTTTGCATCAGAAAGTAAATAATTCCACAGCTCTTGAAACAGTTTGCCAAATTGTTTACCAAAATGGTCACTGGGTCAAGTCTCGCTGATATTCTTGTTTCTCAAAAATTTTACCAGCAAAGAGTGTTACCAGTATTTTATTACCAACTTAATATGTGTGAAACTGTTATAATTTGTGTTTGCTCGATTGCTACTGAGGTCGAACAGTTTTTCCTATGTCTTTCCTTTCCCTTTGCTTTTTCTCTGGAGGGTGGCTGGACGCCCTGAATACATGGGGACATATCTCCTTCCTGCTCTGGGACAAGCCTGGCAGCTCTGGGGTGTGCAGGCCCGTTGGTCCCTGTGGGCCGTCTCTGTCCCCGCCCGGACTTTCGGGGGCACCTGCAGTCGGAGTGAGCCCGGCTGCCCCTCCCTGCCCACCCCACATACCACTCACAGCGCTGCCGGCCTGCGCCCCCTCCTCCCGCCACTGCTCCACATGTGACCGCCCTGGGTGTCCCCGGACGCCTGGCTGCCATCCCACCTCCGCAGCAGGCTGCTCCTGCCGCCCTTCCTTCGGAGAGTCCCCAGAAATGACACGGAGGTCATTATTTTTTGCACTTCCATAGGCCCGTGGAGATATTTTCCATCCTATTCCGGGATTGTGGCGCGGGAGAGGCGGGTTGGGCAGTTTCTGTCATCGACCGATTCCCTGCTTTCGTCTAAATTCCACTTGGTTCCTCTTTACGCAGCCTCCATTTCCAGCCTTTACCCCGGTTTTTCCCTTCCGAGGGTCGTGTCATTAGACACGTTTTCAAATTAAGTCTGGAGAGCTCTGATTTTAGTTGAGGAATTGAGATCTTGCAGCTACGTGATGTATCTGTAACACTTTGGCTTTTTCAAAATTGCAACATACTAAGGGGCATTTGACATTTTATTCGTGCTTTCTGTTTTGTTCTCTGTTATTTCTCGTCTCTTTTGCCCTTTGGTGTCTGGGTTGGGATCTTTCGCAATCGCTCGTCTCAGAGCCCTCCTGACTTTCCCCCGAGCCACAACCGTGTCCGTGTCAGCGCCGTGACGTGCGCCCACGCGGGTGAGCACGCGTGCGCCACTCCCTGCGGCGGCTTCGTTTGTTCAATATTTCTGCTTCATATTTAAAGAAAGGATTTCCTATGAATATTTTCTCTTAAAAGTTTTCCACATTCATGTTATTTTCATCTTATTTATAAATTAAGCAGATTTACATTATTAATATACTTTTTTAAAAAATCAAAAGGCTGTATTTTTTAGAGCAGTTTTAGGTGTGTAGAAAGACTGAGCAGGAAGTGCAGGGATCCCCACGGAGCCCCTCCCCCACTCCGCAGTTCCCTCAGCTTCTCACACCTGGCGCCGTGCGGGACATTTGGTACAACTGGCGAACGCGTCTCGGTGCCATTGTAAACACAAGCGCGCAGTGCGCAGTGCGCAGTGCACAGTCGGGTTCGCTCTCTGTGTTGCGCTGTTCTCTGGGTTTTGACAAAGCAATCGACTCACAGCATCACGCAGAATAGTTTCAGCGCCCTGAAACGCTCCTGCGCTCCACCTGTTCATCTCTCCTCGCGCTCCTGCTAACCCCTGGAACCACCCATTTTTTTTTTTTTATGGTTTCTGTAGCTTTGCCTTTCCCAGAATGTCATGTAGCTGGAATCATACAGTGTGCATGTTTTCGGATGGGCTTCCTGCGCACAGCAATATGCGTTTAAGGTCCCTCCATATTTTTTATGGCTTAATAGATCATTTCTTTTTATTGCTGAATAATAGCCCATTGTCTGCGGGTACCACAGATTGTTTACCCATTTGCCTTCGAAGGACATCTTTCTGGCCTCCAAGTTTCGGCAATGATGAATGAAGCTAACATAAGCGTTTGTGGGGCAGGTCTCTGTGCAGAAATAGGTTTTCATCTCATCCGGGCAAACGCCAAGGAGCGTGACCGCGAGAGTGCGCGGTACGGGGCGTGCTTTTGTAGGAGGCTGCCCGGCAGCCGCGCCATTCTGCGTTCCCACCAGCGATGATCGAGTTTCTGGCGCTCCACATCCTCGATGACATTTGGTGTTGTCAGCGTGCTGGATGTCAGGCATCCCAGTAGGTGTGCGGTGACATCCTGTTGTTTTAACATTCAGTTCCCTAGTGACAAGTGACACTGAGCACTGCTGTCCAAATTTGAGTGCTTGCTGTGAT